GATTGCAGGTGACAATTCAAAATATTAAAACATAACAGAAATAATGCAGTGTTGCTCTCAGACATTCTGTATTGCTTTCAGATATGTTTCTCCTGTAGATCCTTTTCTCATGTATAATCATCCCTGCTGCATCACACATTTAGGCATGATTTAGATCGTCCCTCATTTTCTGTTTGGGGAAGTAACATCTTTAAATGTGCATGTGCCAGGAAAATACTAAAACATGCACATATGACTCCACACAACCTATTCTGTTAGGACTTTATTCTCCAATTATTACAACTTTTTTCTAATTTAATTGTCTAACCGTAATACTCCACAGACAACAAATCTGCCTTTTGGTTATTCTCTAGCTAATTTGCAGCTGACTGTTAACTGTTTGTGTAGGCTACCAAATGCTTTGACTGGACACTCACAGACAGTGACAAACAGTGGTTGTATTTACATTTTTTGATCAAAATTATTGGGATAAGTCAGTAGCCAGTGGATATTAGTGGAGACATGTCCCTAACTTGTCTTGAGGTTACTGCTACCAAACATCAAAGTGTGCAACTTACTTAGGATGTATAAATTAACTTCATGTTATAGAATCAGTGTAGCACAAAGATGACCAACTTTTCCATAACCCGTTTCAATGATTATGAAAACAAGACAATTGAAATTAAACGATTATTGTGCCATTTTATATGGTGTTAGAAATCACCCATCGTAGGATGGGTTAATTGCAGATAACAAATTTTCGGACAGGGATCAATAAAAGCTAACTTAACTTAAATCTAGCGTGCCCCCTGTTTACATCAGTCGCACTCGCACCTCCCTAAAAGCCCAAACTCATTCTCAGCCAGGCTGTGGCAAAACATTTCCTTTTTTATTTGTTTTTTAGTTAAATTATATCTAATGTGTCAAAATCCACTGTTAAAAAGAAATGGTTTTTTGTTTTTTTTTTAAAGTTCATGATGTTTTTCTAAAGTCAATAAGTCATCATGTCAAATGATGATGATCTCAGTACAGACCAAAATAATCATCATTATGATTTTTGCCATTATCGAGCAGCCTAACTCAACTTGCTTTGCCCAGGAGCCACTTTTGCAAAATGGGCCAGGGGCCAGAGACAAAGTCTGCATTTCACTTTCACCCAGGAGACCTCTGATCGTGTCTCGTGTGAAACCAAAAGTCAACATTGACTTATTATTTTAAAACAAACCATAGTCTTTTCATAAACCTAACCACCAAACTCCAACTCTTTCACAATGTTAAAGGGTTTTAAAAAGGCTTTCTGGCAGAAAGTTAAGGTTCAGGTGAACTTGAAAATAAAGGGTCACAGTTTCTGTGCACTGCACAGATCGCTGATCTTCAACTTTCCAACTAACAGCCAAGGGATACCCTACTGTGGGTGAAATTGGTCAGTAAGTTGAGTATCACTGGTGTAACATCTTCATATTCTCCTATCAATCGCCTTTACAGTAAAACTTCCACTTTTTCAGCCCATATTATGCAACGTTCCACTTTTCCTTATTTTATTCATTTGACGTCTTTCTGTCATGCAGCCTTGCACATTATTATTAAAGGGGTTGAACTTAAGTCGGATCTGAAAATGAAAGACCGTCTGCACTCAGCCTAAGAAAAGGCTAATAGCTTTTTTTATAGCACAAATGCATCTATGGAAATTATTAATACTTTGACACAAAACTGAACTCTTAAGCTGAAATTCTGCCACAACTGCTTATTTAACCAGCCATTTAACTCTGCATGTAGCCGCTGTATACCATTTGCTGCCACATCACTTTTGTCACTGTGCAGTTAAAGATAAATACTATGAAAAAGCTGCATAACTCCGTCCACATAAGTAATTCTTTATTTCATTTTAATTTGTTTACTTTTGTGCCAACAAATATGCATATTGGGATACTAAAATTGGGACAGATTTGTTTACAGATGAGGATGACATGAAAGGGAGCCATGAGGTTGGACAGATCTGAGGTGTGAAAGAGAGTGCGAGCAGGGGATATGGAGAGGTGCTAGAGACGTGAAGTGGTGTAGGCGGAGAGAGACGGAGGACGACAGGGCATTAACTTACACAGTTACACAGGAAGGTTGAGAGGGAGGTGGAGATGGAGAAGATAGGAATAAACAGGGGGTAAAGAGAGTAAGAAATATATTTAATGAAGCAGGTGAAAGACAAAAAGAGAGAAGAGAAAGGAAGAAGCCTGAGTGATTATGAATGATGAATCAAATCTCAAGAAAAGGAGGTGTGTAGTAATTGAGTTTATACAATGGTTTAAAGATTATGGTTTCTTTTAAACAAAATAGGCCATTAATTTCAAGTTCTACATCCCCGAGATAATTGTTGGAAATGGAAGTTGCTCCCCTGAGGTCCCAGAATTTGGTCTCCATCACCAGATTGAAGAAACTTTATCATGATTCTGAGAACAAATGAGCAAATTCAAATGGCTAATGAAGACTGTGTGTACAGTCGAAAGCGCCACAACAAGTGAGTATGTGGACCCTGAATTGAGATTAATTTGTCAGATACTTGGGCTCCAGGTTCACTACCCGCTTATTATTTTGAGGTACTTTGATGAAATTTGTTTTCTAACACTGTGTGTGTGTTACAAAACCACAATATAAAACTGAAATTATAGTCTGTTAACAGGTGTTGGACAGTACTATTGCACATGTGAAAAAAATGGAGTTGCATGTTCTCCTTAGGTGTGAGTGGTTGTTTGTCTATGTGTGGCCCTGCAATGGACTGTCGGCCTGTTCAGCCTTTCGCCCGAAGACAGCTGGGTGGCTCCAATGGGAGCTGTGCAAAGTCTGATAAATTAAGACTTATTTATCCATGAGAAATAAATCCATGATAGTCTGGGGGTATGGAGTGATGTTGCCAGACATCTGCAGCCCGCTCCTCATCTCTGCTGGAGGCTAAATTAGTGACTATTTGCATAACACTCCTGAATCTCCAATCAAACTGTCTGCGGTTTGCATCATAGGTTATAGGTGCCAGGTTTTTACAAGAAAGAAGAATGAATAGGATAAAAAGGACTTTATCTCTAGTTGTGCTACATTAATTTTGATACTTTTTCTCTTAAACTTCTGGCAAAAGTCTAAAAGTCTGACAAGATTATAGGAGGTATTGCTAAATACTCTATTAAGGTGACACCTGCACTGTCACATCATCTTGAGGTTCTGTCTTAAAGAGAGGCTTTGAGTTAAAATCTAAATTTAACACATTTATTCTTTCAGTTAATCTTGTGGATATTCCTTGATACATGTCTGCTTAATTGTGTTAATGATTAACTACAAGCACCCACATATCAGTTTTGCCCTGGGACACCCTAGAGCGTTATGGCTGTGTTGTCAAAGGTCATTTGCATGGCAAGAGATGTGGGGAAGATGTTTAAAAAAGCAGCCAAGGTGGGAAAGTAAAAAAAAAAAAATTCTCATTATTAATTGTTATTAATATCACCCTAAGCTAAAATCTTACAGAAACCTTTGATAATGGAGTGAAATCTAATTTCTGACTTGAAAAGAAGCGAGAGACTAAGGGAGTTCGGGGAAACAGTAGCGGGATAGACGGTGCAGGAGAGAAGCGAGTTGAGTATTGAAGTGACAGGTTGTTGTCAGAGCACCGAGACCCTGGAAGATAGATGAAGACAGGGGCAGCAACCCCCCCCCCCCACACACACACACTAATGTCACGACAGATGACTAACTGTGGTTGTGTGTGTGTGCGTGTTTGTGTGAAGACAGGGTCAGCATTTTTTTGCCCAGGGCTGACTAAGTGTAGAGTGTGTGTGTCTCTGCATTTGGAAGTGTTTGCGAGAGAGTACGCAAGGTCAGCAACTTCCACACTACAAGGCTAGCTGATGCTGTTTGTGTGTTTGTATGTGTAGACTTGTATGTTTCTGTTCCTCCTCTGTGTGTGTGTTTGCACTGATTTGACCTAACACTGCCAGTTCAATCTGTTCCTTTTTTTTGTGTCCGTTTGTCCTCACAATATATTAACTGGGGTCCAAATGAAAAACCACTCCGCTTCCTTGTCATAGAAACATATTGCTGTTGTATCTCTGCTGTCGACTGCCTGCTCTCAGCTCAGCTAATGTTTACTGCCACACACTGTATACCAGCATCAGACATCTGCAGCATCTACAGCTGGCTGCACACACATGCAGTGAGTGTAAAGATTTACACAGACTTGACTCAGAGCCATGAGGAGGAAATTCAGTTTGTCCACATACTTTATGGCGAGAAATTAAACTCTAAATGGTCACAAATGTGTACTACATGATCTACAAATGAAAAATAAGATTTACAAATGTGTACGCTGTGGAACGATTTGGCCATAATTTTGGGCACATCACAACCTGAGTAACTATTCATATTTTGCGTACAGATTTTTAACTCTGCTGTTGACAGGAATTCACATGATCTCAGCAGTGGAAGTCTTCTTCATGTCATTTTATTTCATTAACATCTGTATTTCTCATGTGCACAGTCCACTGGAAAAAAATGGGGAAGACCCAAAGGCAGCCAACTTCATTGATTACTTTACAAAAACACAACAAGTTGATTTTGGTGAAACTGGATCACCTTTTCTGCCACATGTAGACTACACACATGCAAAAAAACGACACGAAGAAGACCAACTTCTGCTGCTGAGATCACATGGTTTTATGTCAACTGCAAAGGTGCTCTTGCCGTTTTGTCTGCCGTGTTGTCTACAGCTAGGTACACTTGGGGAAAAGTAGAAGAGAGACTGTGGAAGATTGTGCCCTGAGCTATGTGTCTCAGGCAGCACTTGACACACAGATACATTAGCCCCAACTATTTACTTAAAGCTGCAGTAGGCAACAATTGAACACACAATGCGAAAAGTATCTTGATGTAGCAGCATGATGTGTTTTTATTATAGTGAATACAATTAAAGCCAACAGAAATAGTTCATGAGAGAGTTCACTAGCGGTGTGATTGGAAGGTTAAATTACTTTCTTTGTGTCTCCAATCTTTCTCTGCCTACCTCAAGGTTTTGGACATCACTTCTCGCTGCTCCGACCCAGTAGATCTCAGCAGAGTCCAGTGAAGGCCAGGCTGCATCAGCAGAAATGGCTCCAGCAGCCATGTCTGTACCTCCATCCTCTTTCACCTCCCTGCTCTCCTTCCTCTTCTCCTTCTTCCTCCTCCTGTCATGTCCTGCATCAGCGCACGCAGATTCATCTGAGAACAACTGCTCAGCTAGTGGAGACCCCTGTCAGGAAGGTGGGTTGGTCTTATCTTTGAGAAAACTGCAGTTTAATGCATATAAGGATGGATTAAGGCAATTACATAGGATAGATTTATGTACTTCACTCTTATAGAAAGAGCAGCTTGCAACAAGTAAGATAAGGAGTTAGCCTCTAGTTTGGTTATCCGGCCATGTCAGCTACTGATATTTTAAACCTTTATCACAGCTGATCATAATGATGTTTTAGATCATTTTACCATCAATACCCAGCAGATTACAGACAAAAACATAAGCCTAATTGGAGGGTAAACACTGCATCCAACACTGTCTTTTTAATCTTTTTCAAATAGGCTAATTCACAATATTCTTTTTCAAAAGTGGCTTATTCATTTAATTCAATTTCCTCCATTTGTAGGAAACAATTACACATTAAATTCATGATCATTTATTATGTCTATGTTATTATGGAGGCAGTAGATACACTAAATTATGGCTATTTCTTTCAACTTTAGTGTCCTTTAGATTTAAACCCCAAGTCGCCATAGTCTTTACACCTGTTCAGTGCCTCTGCAAATGACAGGAAAGAGATTTATTTGCCAGATGCCAGGTGCTAATGCGTGAGTTAGATTCTAGAGCATTCATCCATTTTAATAAGTTTTAGTAGAACAAATGGACCATATGGTAAATCCCCTACTTACTATCGGACGTTAATCAAGTTGGACTGCTAATAAGCTTTTTACAAAATGCCCTCTCACTATGCAAAATAAGGGCTGGAGAAATTATTGAGGTAATTATAGACAATTGTTGCAACCAAATATTTCGTGCCACCCTTTTCTGCAAAACTCTGTTTGATTATATTTTCAATTGTTTGATCATTTCAGGAGTGGTACTGCCCGTGTGGAACCCTCAGAACCCATCTGTGGGGGACAAAGTGGCACGAGCCATTGTTTACTTCGTAGCACTCATCTATATGTTCCTGGGTATGAGCATTATAGCAGACCGATTCATGTCTTCTATAGAGGTAGGCAATCAATCAATAACCCGTCACTTATTTTACTATTGCAACTTTGCACTACTTCAGAGTAGATTAATATAGTTACAGTGGCTTGCAAAAATATTCATACCCCTTGAACTTTTCCACATTTTTCACATTACAACCATAAACCTAAATGTATTTTATTGAGATTCCATGTGATAGACCAACACAAAGTGGCAAGCAATGGTGAAGTGGAAGGAAAATGATACATGGTTTTCAAAAATGTACAGAAATTAAAATCTGAAAAGTATTCAGCCCCCCTGAGTCAATACTCACCTTTCACTGCAATTACAGCTGCAAGTCTTTTGGGGAATGTCTCTACCAGCTTTGCACATTTAGAGACTCGAATGTTTGCCCATTCTTCTTTGCAAAATAACTCAAGCTCAGTCAGATTGAATTGAGAGCGTCTGTGAACAGCAATTTTCAAGTCTTGCCACAGATTCTCAATGGGATTTAGGTCCGGACTTTGACTGGGTCATTCTAACACATGAATATATCCATCCGTCCATCGTCAACTGCTTATCCTGCGTACAAGGTCTCGGGGGGCTGGAGCCAATCCCAGCTGACATTGGGCGAAAGGCGGGGTACATCCTGGACAGGTCGCCAGTCCATCGCAGGGCCACATATTTATATATATATACTTAGATCTAAATCATTCCATTGTAGCTCTGGCTGTATGTTTAGGGTCCTGCTGGAAGGTGAACCTCCGCCCCAGTCTCAAGTCTTTTGCCAACAGGTTTTCTTCCTAGATTGCCCTGTATTTGGCTCCATTCATCTTCCCATCCACTCTGACCATCTTCCCTCTCCCTGCTGAAGAAAAGCATCCCCACAGCATGATGCCACCACCCCCATGTTTCATGGTGGGGATGGTGTGTTCAGGGTTATATGCAGTGTTAAGTTTGTCGCCACACATCAGAAAACAAACAGGCATTTTTTGGTATGTTTGAAGTTGTGGCATGCTCTTTCCATTTTCGGATGATGGATTGAACAGTGCTCCGTGAGATGTTCAAAGCTTGCGATACTTTTTTTATAAACTAACCCTGCAACTTCTCCAAACCTTTATTCCTGACCTGTCTGGTGTTTTTCCTTGGGCTTCATGGTGCTATTTGTTGGTGCTACAAACCTCTGAGGCCTTTAGAGAAGAGCTGTATTAATACCGAGATTAGATTACACGCAGATGGACTCTATTTACTAATTAGGTGACTTCTGAAGGCAATTGGTACCTCTGGATTTTATTTAGGGGTATCGGAGTAAAAGGGGGCTGAATACTTTTGCACGGCACACTTTTCAGATTTTTATTGTATATATTGCATGTATGATTTTCCTTCCACTTCGCAATTATGTGTCACTTTGAGTTGGTCTATATCATGAAAGCTCAATAAAATACATTTATGTTTGTGGTTGTAACGTGAAAAACTGTGGAAAAGTTCAAGGGGTATGAATACTTTTGCAAGCCACTGTATATACAGTACTCAAGTCACCACTCATCCTCAGTTTGGGGAAATACAATGGATCTTATTTAATATGACACATGAGCGACAGCTGTGTGGCATCTTTTAAAACAATAAATTGTCAAGTAAACAAAACAACATAATTTTGGAGCTCCATCTGCCATCCTTTTCTTTCCATTCCTTCCTTCCTCTTGCTTTTTGTTTCCTTTTTGTGCCTCTCCTCCCCCTCCAGGTCATCACCTCCCAGGAGAAGGAAATCACTATAAAGAGGCCAAATGGTGAGACCACCACGGCCACAGTCAGGATCTGGAACGAGACTGTTTCTAATCTCACTCTAATGGCCTTGGGTTCTAGTGCCCCCGAGATACTGCTGTCTGTTATTGAAGTGAGTACAGTATGAGCCGGATGGTTACACATTAGATGAACTGATACAAAATGTTAGTGGCACCACGGTAATCTGATTTTCACCCCACCTATAGGTGTGTGGTCACGGTTTCGAGGCTGGCTCCCTGGGTCCCAGCACCATCGTGGGCAGTGCTGCTTTCAACATGTTCATCATCATCGCCCTGTGTGTGTATGTGGTTCCTGACGGAGAGACGCGCAAAATCAAACACCTTCGGGTGTTCTTCGTCACGGCAGCCTGGAGTATCTTCGCCTACATCTGGCTCTACCTGATTCTGAGTGTGTTTTCCCCTGGAGAGGTGGAGGTGAGGACAGACAGATATGAAACCTGTTAACGGGACGAAGGTTGGTTGAGGGAAAGAAAGAAAAAAGAAGGAAGGAAAATTCTGTCTCTTTTCTCCTCTAGGTATGGGAGGCAGTGCTGACCTTCCTCTTCTTCCCCCTCTGCGTGGTCCAGGCCTGGGTGGCTGACCGCCGACTCCTCTTCTACAAGTACGTCCGTAAGCGTTACCGTGCTGACAAGCACCGCGGCATCATCATTGAGACCGAGGGAGGAGCGGACGGAGGGATAGGAGGTATGGACGGAGGAGGAGGAGGAGCACTGGGTCCAGGGGGGTTCACCAAGATGGACATGCTGGAGCTGGACGGACAGATGGCGTTGAACTGTCACAGTGGGATAGATGGAGGGATGATGGAGGAGGGAGGAGCGAAGGACGAGGAGGACGAGGCCAGAAGGGACATGGCGAGGACGCTGAAGGAGCTGAAGCAGAGGCATCCGGATAAAGACATGGAGCAGCTAATTGAGATGGCTAACTATCAGGTCAGGGGGGGTTTTCTTATATGTGCAGATAAACAAACATTAGCGATGGAAATTTATTGACATTGGGTATGTTTTGAAGGTTGTTTGTTGAAGGAATAGTTATTTTGAGAGAAATAAGTTAAGTATGGCGCTAGAACTGGGAGGTGATTAGCTTAGCTTAGCAGAAAGAATGAAAGCGAGGGGAAATAGCTGGCCTGGCAGTGTCGAGAGGCCCATTTATACTCCTGCGTAGGGTCTACGTGCGTACGTACGCCGTAGGCTACGCACGTAGCCATGCATTTATACTTCTGCGTAGGTGTGCCCGTCATTCTGCTATTACACCCCCAAACGCTAGTCGGCAGTAGCGCTACAGCGTCCACTGTGTTGACTTTTGCCGGCCGAGTAGGCTAACTTCCAGTTTAGCGCTCCGCTAACGTAAATGGGGGTAAAATTGTATATGTGCTGCTGGTGTAGCCTTTTCAAATGTTACCGAGCAAATGGATCACATTCTGATAGCGAAACGAGTCATTTCTCTCGGGTTATGACGGTCAAATATATTGATTCACTGTGTTACAGCCGCCGTTTTGGCCGCTAGTAAATATTACTTCAAAGCGCGGCGTACTTCCGGTCGGCTCGGAGGCATTGCGAGGCTACCCAGCCCACCAATCACAGTGCAAACAGAAATGTTGTGGTTGTTACAGTTGTCGTTTACTGCTATTTGCCAAAAAATAGTTAATGTAGCAGCACGTAACTCCCTCTAAAGCCACAAAATCTTGTCTGGCTGTTATAAGTTATACAAATGAGCTTTAGAGGGGCTAGTAGGCATAATTTTGAAGTTTGAATGGATCGCCTCCTGGCTCTAGCTCCATAGGCTACACAACTTTGTGTTAGTTTGTGGTGTCTTCTTATCAAACTTTTGGCAAAAAGCAAACAAGCTTATTTCCCAAAATGTCAAGCTACTCCTTTAACAAAGATATACAGTATCTCACAAAAGTGAGTACACCCCTCACATTTTTTGTAAATATTTGATTATATCTCTTCATGTGACAACACTGAAGAAATGACACATCGCACACTAAACCGTTCGCAACAAGTCAGTACACCCCTAAGTGAAAATGTCCAAATTGGGCCCAGTTAGCCATTTTCCCTCCCCAGTGTCATGTGACTTAGAGGTCTCAGGTGTGAATGGGGAGCAGGTGTGTTAAATTTGGTGTTATCTCTCTCACACTCCCTCATACTGGTCACTAGAAGTTCAGCATGGCACCTCATGGAAAAGAGGATCTGAAAATAAGAATTGTTGCTCTACATAAAGATGGCCTAGGCTATAAGAAGATTGAAATTGAGCTGCAGCATGGTGGCCAAGACCATACAGCAGTTCAACAGGACAGGTTCCATTCAGAACAGGCCTAACCACGGTCAACCAAAGAAGTTTAGTGCACGTGCTCAGCGTCATATCCAGAGGTTGCCTTTGGGAAATAGACATATGAGTGCTCCCAGCATTGCTGCAGAGGTTGAAGGGGTGGGGAGGTCAGCCTGTCAGTGCTCAGACCATACGCCACACACTGCATCAAATTGGTCTGCATGGCTGTCGTCCCAGAATGAAGCCTCTTCTAAAGATGATGCACAAGAAAGCCCGCAAACAGTTTGCTGATGACAAGCAGACTAAGGACATGGATTACTGGAACTGATAAGACCAAGGTAAACTCATTTTGTTCAGATGGTGTCAAGCCTGTGTGGTGGCAACCAGGTGAGGAGTACAAAGACAAGTGTGTCTTGCCTACAGTCAAGCATGGTGGTGGGAGTGTCGTGGTCTGGGGCTGCATGAGTGCTGCCAGCACAGGGGAGCTACAGGTCATTGAGGGAATCATCAACACCAACATGTACTGTGCAGCAGAGCATGATCCCCTCCCTTTGGAGACTGGGCCGCAGGGCAATATTCCAACATGATAATGACCCCAATCACACCTCCAAGACGACCACTGCCTCGCTTAAGAAGCTGAAGGTAAAGCTGATGGACTGGCCAAGCTTGTCTCCAGACCTAAACCCCATTGAGCATCTGTGGGGCATCCTCAAATGGAAGTTGGAGGAGCGCAAGGTCTCTATATAAATAATGGTGGCCACACAAAATATTGACACTTTGGGCCCAATTTGGACATTTTCACTTAGGGATGTACTCACTTCTTTTTTGCCAGCGGTTTAGACATTAATGGCTATGTGATTATTTTCAGGCTACAGCAAATTTACACTGTTATACAAGCTGTACATTCACTACTTTACATTGTAGCAAAGTGTCATTTCTTCAGTGTTGTCACATGAAAAGACAAAAATGTGAGGGGTGTACTCACTTTTGATACTGTATATTAGATTTTAGGCGATGATACAAACATTTTCAAAGTTTATAAATAGTGTGTACACATGTGTGAATTTGATTGGATGTTATTAGTCAGCTTCTAATTAATGAGGCCCTCATGGTGAAGCTGCATTCATTTTTTCAAACTGGTTTGCTCTGTCTTCATCTTAACTTTGTTCCTTAAAGTTCTTCTCTCAGTTTCTGAGCTAACAATCTTCTTACATCTAATATCAAAATGGAACAGTAGAAAACTTAATAACATGCATCACATATCACACCCGACTCCTCTGAGGGTGGCACTGTGCCGGAGATGATGCTGTGACACATTCGGCTGTGAACAAGGTGTTTTAGGTGATAGCAGGTAGGGCAGCACACAGCTGAACATTTAATAGTGTTCCTGATCAACCTCTGAGCTGTTTAACAAATCCATTTGCATTTCCATTAGAAGAGATGAATGAAGAGGTTAATTTAATTTAATTTCCCAAGGCAGCTATTTAATGAATAGTTATTACGATATTTATAGAAAATGGCAAATCAACTATGCACACACACCAAATATAAACAAAATTATAATGAAGTTAATTGATAGATAGCTACACACTACGAGTTTTTCAGGACACTCCTCATGTAATGTTGTGAGCTGATAAAACCACTAGTCTGTAGAGAGGAAGGTGCCAGTTGTCTTGATTGACAGCACTGTAACATGCAACCCCTCTGCTCTCGAGGTGATTTACCCGGTAAGTTCTATGAACATTAGAGTGTGAAAGCTCATTTTTGACCCTGGAAGCCATAACGTGGCAAAAAATTTGTAACGCAAGGTCCACTTGTTTTTTCGGAGCTTTCAGCCACATCTCACACATTGAGTTCATGCTTAAAGGAAGGATGTGAGGTTTGGTTAACAGCTCTGTAAAAACCTTGCAAGTTGACCTTGAGTTAAGATTTTTTGGTGCATTTAGATTTGCAATTTGTTAGTTGGTACTATAAGCAACGAAATCTTAGTGCTTTCTTCTAAATTTACCTTTTGGTTAAATTTGGCATTAGTTTAGTTGAGTTTCGTTTGTCAATGAGTCACACAGAGATTAACTAAATAGTTGGTTAATCTGTTCTCGTCCCTGGTAAAAAGAAAGGAGCTGCTAATAGATGGCTGCCATGCACTTCCCCTCTTCCTTCCCTTGTCTCCTTTGTGAGTTATTTCTTGGTTTTGGTCTTTTTATTGTAATTACAAAAGGTGCACTGTTTGTTTGCATTCAGGCCTTCCTCCCCCAGCAGCTACTTACGCCTCCTCGTGCTGTAAATAAGAATGACTGCTGCCCCAGAGATTAAACTCCACTGGATAAATTAAGGTTCTCGCGGACATAATGAATCATTAAATAATAAATTATATAGTGGTCCCCTGTGGTCCTCTCGGACTTGGAATTTGACTTTCCTAAAGTTAGGCCAACTTGCTCAGCCAGATAATTTTTTTTACTAAACTAACGATTACTAATTCCAACCCTCCAAGCATATGCGGATATTGTGAGGATTGTGGAGGTTCGCTTCCCTTAAATTTAAATAAATCACAGTCTTCCCAGCTCTGCGGCTACATTTAATTTAATGATCTCCACAGCTACAGTGGCCAATTTGTTCATTTTCTATGTGGGGGATCGTTAGGATATTAAATTGCTATTCAGACATACATTTTTATTGAAATCATTACTTATAGATTGATAAGACTCAATAAATCTAAAGTTTTCAGCTAAGAGAGTTGGCAACTAGTTTTGCATTTTAAAGTGGGTAATATTTTAAGGAAGTGGACGGCTACAGTGTCAAATCATTCCTTATCAGTGTGATTCCACTGTTTGTCTCTCTCTGTCAAAGAGACAATTACAGGGTTTTAATGAAGCTCTGAGACAAAGACATCCCTCGTCTTCAAGTGTCGGATCTGGGTTCAAACCTCAAGCAGTGTCCTTCAGTGAATCTGTAGCTGACCTTTGACCGCTAACCTCCCGTAAAGACGTTAGAAAAAACCCCGCCCCGAGGGAGAGTCGCTGCTTAACCTTAAATTGCAGCTGTCCACTTAAGAGTGAGCTTCTATAAACGAAAGACTAGTCTGAAAAAACTAACTGAATTATAGATTAGCATATTGAATACAATAGATCACTTTGTTAATGAATTAGTTTTATTGATCAGGTGCTGATGCAGCAGCAGAAGAGCAGAGCTTTCTACCGTATCCAGGCAACCAGGATGATGATCGGAGCTGGCAATATCCTCAAGAAGCACGCTGCCGACCAAGCTCGCAAGGTGAGACGCGCGTAATCTCCTCTCGTTAGCATTTGACCTGTTATTCACAGCTAAAACACACACCGCATCTGACTCTGACCTGACACGTCTACTTTCATCTTGTCTGGGTTTTTTTGCAGGTGGTGAGCAGCCACGAGACCCAAGCCCAGGAGGACGATCCTCACACCATCAGGATGGAGTTCGAGCCCTCGTTGTATCAGTGCTTTGAAAACTGTGGCTCCTTGAAACTGACTGTTGCCAGACACGGAGGAGACTCTGGAGTTACTGTCAAGGTGTGTGGATTGTTCAGAGGAATAAGAATCTGTGTGTGTGTGTGTGTGTGTGAGGGAGAGAGGCCAAAAGACACTCAGACAGACAAAAGTAGAGATGAGAGTTGACAAAAATATACTCTGAACTGATTTCACTCACATCTTTGGCAGTTTTCCTAGTCTCGGGCTGATCTTACTCATAACCTGTTCTCACTTCTAGAGGCTTTGAGCATCCTTGTTCTCCTTTATGGCCTGCTAGAGGGATAGAAGTGGGTGACAGAGGAGTGTAGAAGAGACACAAAACAAAACACTTTCTTCTAGAGATTTTTAGATTTCAGATTTAGAGGTTGTAACTCAATGAAAAGACATATCCTTTTGCAAAGGCTCACTGCTCTTGGGCTTGATGCTGGCCTGGTACACTGAATAAGAGATTTTGTTTCAAGTCACAGAGAGTCTGTCAGTGAAATGATATCTGATTTGCTCGCAGGGGCTTTGCAAGGCTGTGTCTCGTCTATTCTTCTCCTTGTATATAAATGGAACTATGATGCAACACTAGTGCTGTCTGTAGAGGTGTGCTGTTGGCATGGCCTGAGTCTGCCGTCTACTGAAAGCTGATAAGTGGCCTGTTTAGCCCACACACAGGCTCTTCAGGCATGGTGTCAGTGCAGTACTTCAGAGACGAAGAAAAAAGATTATCTTTGCCAAACAGTTTCTCACTGAGGCTACTTGTACTTGATGGTACACTCATTGAAATGTTTAAAAGTTCCAAGAATCTATCCCCAAGGAAGGTTAAGTCGAGGGTGATTGGACATGGCTTCGCCTTTCATCCAAGAGGCCTCTTCAGTGCAGCCTCTTGGATGAAAGGCGGAACGTCTTCAAGTATCTTCAACCAAGTCCAGTTACCCTTGATTTAACTTTCCTTGGATAACCATAGGGCTGGTGCGATTCGTTGACGTAATCGATTCCGTAAATACGTCGACTTGCATTACGTGCGTCGAAGCGTCACTGCATCCGGTGTTAGTGGGATATCCCCTGGACAAGCTCCATCTACAAGACAGCGCATTCGACCGTCTAAAGTTTGGGAGTATTTTAGACTGACACTCAAAACGTGCTGCTCCGTGAGCTCTGTGAATTGGACATACGTGAAGCAGCATGAACACGTGAAGCGAAAGTATCACGGAGCACTGACAGCAGCACCGCAAATCGTGTTTACTTTCTGTCTCCACACAAACACGCCACATTATCGAGAACACGTAGTCCATTAAAATGTATTTTCTAAGTATTTCTTCATCGCTTTCATGTTAAAGGTTATTTCTGCCCCGTTGCTGTCAAGGTAACACAACGTTACACCGTGCGTCATCTAACGTTCGGCTGTTTCATATTTTCTGTTAATGTAACGGCCACGTATGAGCGAGAAAACAGCTGAATCAACATTACAGACAATCTGTCGGGAAATTGGATTCATTTTAAAAATAATCGTTATGTACAGCCCTAGATAACTATGACTTAGATGACAGAGAATCTGTGTATGTATACAAAACATTTAAATAAATTTTCACAGCACTTTGTCTTCTTAAAGGGTTTAGCAGTTTTAGTACAAGGCAGCCATTTAAAAAAAATATATGATGGAATGATAGCTAAACAACAGACTTTAACCTGCATTAACACATTTGTTTTCCCACCTCAGAGCAGTGGAAGGAAGGAATGCACACAACACTGACATATTATCACCTTTTTAGCTAATGTGGCTAACTTGTTAGCAAACAGTTGCTTGTTTGCACATCCAGCAGATACAAAGCAACATTACTTTCATTTGTAGTGCGTTTTTATCCACCTGACCAATATTCGCTCTCCTTTAAGCTTGCACCATCAGCCTCTGAGAAAAAAAGTGTGTCTCTGTCGCTGCTGCACGCTGCACTATGTTCTTACTTTGTCTGTTGGCTGTTTGGTGCTGAGCAGGTGGTGTATAGTGGCTTTTTAGAGCTTGTTTGTTGAAAACAGCTGCCTGCTGCGCCTGAAAACAACACTCATAAGAGCAGTGAGAGTGAACCAAAGCAATGAGCTAAATGCTAAAATGTGAAGACGAAATGTTCTGAACAGCGGTTGAAATGAACAGCAGAGATAATTCACTGTGTGTTCATCAGTATGAGCATCAGCTTCCACATCCAAATAGTCATTTGAGCCATTAAAATAAAGAAAACCGTTATTATAGCCGCTTTAAGTTTGCTAGAATAGTTTGTATATATAAACCAAATATTTATTTAAATTAGGTGTCACACCCAGCCATAGTATTGGCTGGTTATTTATATAAAAATAACATTAAAGGCAACTTTATTCATCAGAAACATCTGAACACTGAAATATTAGTAAGCCTCAGTAGACCTATGTAATATCAGCTATGGATACATTAAAAAAAGTTTAGAGCTGTGTCACTTATTAATAGAACCACACTGATTCAGAAACAGCCACAGATTGTTTTGAAGTAGAACTTATCCCATTTTATATAACTAGTGACAGAATCTGATTGCTGTTTGATCTGATTTAAAGCAATGCAGATTCGTTTTTAAAGCCTCTATGCAGGCTGGAGAGGGTTAATAAACAGGGCAGATGGAGAGAAAGGAGGGGATACAGGGAGAGTTTTGTTGTACAATCTTCAAAGTCTTTATTATCAGACTGTATCTGACCAGAGGGCTCAGTTTAATGAAGCTGTTATTCTTGTTTTCTCTCGCCCTCTGTTCACATCTCCCCAATTGCCTCTCCTCTACTTCTTTTCTGTTCACTTCTATCTCTCTCTCCCTGTCTGTACTCTGTGTTCTCCCTCTCCCTTTGTGTCTATCTGCCCTTTTCATATCTGTTCACTTCTGTTTCATCTTTGATGGCTCTTTTCGCTCCCCCCCACCCCCCCACCCCCTCGTCTCACCAACTCTCTGTGCTCCTGTCTCCCCCAGGTGGATTATCGCACAGAGGACGGTACAGCGAATGCAGGTTCCGATTATGAGTTTGCAGAGGGAACGCTGCTGTTTAAGCCAGGAGAGACACTCAAAGGTAAAAATAACAATGACAGCGATAATTTATGACATATTTTCAAAAAACACGTCAATGAGACTGAGGCTCAAGTAGCAGAGGTCATCTGCAGCACCTAAGGCAACTTGTCCCACTGGTTTCAACAAATAAAACATGATTTAATGTTTATTTTTGTAAAAACATCACCCTAAAAAGGAAAATACAATTCTTTTACCAGAGATCACAGTTGGAGTGATTGATGACGACATCTTTGAGGAGGATGAGTATTTCTATGTCCACCTCAGTAACCCCCGAGTGGTTGGTTATCCTGAGATCGGCACCGCCCCACTGGATGCAAGTGCCACCCCCAAAGCCGTGCTGGGCGACAACCACACAGCCACAGTGACCATCTACGATGACGACCACGCAGGTAAGACAGAGTAATGTAACAGGAATTGTCTATCTTAATGAAACCAAACTGAAATTTAAATTCTCCTCTCTTTTGGTTTATAGAAAATATAAACTTTAATGATAATGCAGCTGTTGTGAATATTATCCCATATAACGTAAAAGAGAATAAAACCAAATTTGGACATTTGTCAACTTTTGTTGTGCACTTCCATCATATATACACATGTGCTATGGACTAAAACATGTCATATTGTACGACCTATGGCATTTCCCCCTCTACAATAAGCCCTCATAGTTAAGTCTGTCTGTCCCTTTACAACATTCAACATTTGGACCCATCGTGCTGTTAGCAAGCTAGGCAAATTAGCTTCTTCTGGGAGTGAAAGCTGATTGCCTTAGTTTTCTGTTATCTGTTTTCTGTTGTATGTTATTTCAATACATTCTCAAGCTCCGTTAAGTAACTTTGAAAAATCATAGCTACTGGTAGGCTGTGACCACCTGGAGAACACGGCTAAAAAATAAATTTCCTTTTTTTGCTAATTACAATTTTCATTTTCCAAATAAGTACAAATCAAAACACATTAACCTTAATTAACCTTCTGTGCAAGATGGATCATGCAAGAGTGACAGAAGTAGATGTGAAGAACTGGTTCTGTAATAATTTTAAACTATATGGTTTTGATATAAATGTTGAATCCACATAGGTCTATTGCTTTGCTACCTAATTCCCAGGATATCCATAAAAAAGGGATCACAAGAAGGTGAAAAGAGTTCTAGTCCCCTCGATGTTGACACTTTTTTAGTTAAATCTGGTTGGTAACATCCAAAGAGAATTAAGGGAGGGAGGATGAGTGTAGAGTGGGCGTTTACTTAATGCTGATTATCTTTTATCTAAAGAGAGTGGGTGGTAATCTATTATCCCTTTCACTATATATATGGTACACCTCGGAGAGCAAGCTAGTAAATGAGAGCGTAGGTGTTTTTTCACCTCATCTTTCTAGTGTTTCTCTCCTGTGAAGTACTGTATTTTCTTTCCTTCTCAGGTATTTTTACCTTTGAGAGTGCCAGTCAGAAAGTGAGTGAGAGCGTAGGTGTGATGGAGGTGAAGGTGCTCAGGACTTCTGGGGCCAGAGGCCTGGTAGCTGTTCCCTACCGAACCGTGGATGGCAGCGCTAGGGGAGGCGACGACTACGAACCTGTCGCTGGCAAACTGGAGTTTCAAAATGACGAGACCATGTAAGTACGAACGTTGTCAGTAACTGTTCTCTCACCCACTTTACTGCACATTTTATGCACACTTTGAAACTGACAAACATTTGACAAAATACAAAGCTCGTTCACAATGTTTTTTTCTAATACATGGACTGAAATCTGCACCAAATCAGTCACAGATTTGATAGGACATAGATGCTGTTTTTGTAGCACCAAAGAGTGACTGACATAATTCTGGATGATTCTCAGTTTCTGACACTCAAGCTATTTCTGACTCCCGTTCAGAAATAGCTTGAGTGTTTAACATGCATTCACCGTATAAATAGCAATGCAGATAACAGTGTAATAATGCCACTCTTCACGGTAGGCTACTCTGCATTAAAATACACGTGTGCACACAAACACAAACACACAGGCAAAATTGCTCTTGCGTCCTTGGGCACATGCATTTTTAATATGCTGATGATAGCGGTGTTAAATTGACCAATACATAAAGCGGTTTGGAAATACAGTTTTCTCAGCGCCTTCTGGGGCCTGTAAAGCAAGGCCTCTGTGTTTATGTGTGTGCGAGAGTGTGGTCTTGTTCTTGTATCTTTATGAGGACCAATTTGAGAGTGAAGACTTTCATGCATAGCGAGGACACTTCCAGTTGTACATTTCCTCAAGGTGCTGTTTGATTGTCAAGATATAGGCTGAACAGGAATTCATTCAAGGGTTATGACTTGGGAGTAGTCAACATTTATGTTAATGAGTATCCTCACAAGTATGATAACACAAGTGTGTGTGTGTGCTCTTGTTCTTCTGTGTTTGTAAGGGCCAATTTTAGTTTTAGAAAGTGACAACATTTTGTCTTAAAAGCCGTTTGAGGATTAAGACTGGCTTTAGGTTTAAGATTAGAATTACGTGTAGGTTAAAGTTAAGGGTTGGGGTGGTAATGTCCCTCCCTCTCTTTACCTTCTGCGTGTTTTCTTTCCTCTTTGCAGCTGTACTCCTTTGTGTCATTCCTCCCTCCATCTTCCCTTTCTCTCTCTTATTTCTGTTTTTGCCTGATTACATTTCTGCCCTTTGTTGACCTTAGATTTGCTCTGTATAGCTGTTTTCTTTCTTTCTTTCTTTCTTTCTTTCTTTCTTTCTTTCTTTCTTTCTTTCTTTCTTGACATCTCTCCCTTTTTCAAATCCCTGGTATATTTTTAGATTTTCTTCCACACAGGAGTTTTGCCATCCCTCTCCTCTTCTCCTCCCTTCTTCACCTTCTCCTCTGCCTCACCTCCCTATCATCTCATCCGTCTCCCATCCCTCCCTTTTCACCCCTTGCACATCCTTCTTCTCCTCTTCATTTACATCTCCCTCCCATTTTGCCTTTCACCTTTACTTTTTTACAGACTTTTCATCACCTTTTTCCTCCCCTTATTGCCTTCCTCTCGCTCCACCTAACACCCTCACCTCCTCTTCTTCCTGCCTTATTTGATCATTCTCGTCAGCTTCCCTGTCCATCCATCTTTGTCTAACCCTTTAGTCAGAGAAAAAGGACTCACTGCCAAGGCAATTTAGCTGGATCACAACCCAGACATAATTCACCATCCACACCTCCCTCTGTTCTCCCTTGTCTCTCCAATCTGTGTAATAGTTTTGTTTACCCCTTTTGTACATTGGGTGAGCCAGGTGCTGCTTAAAATTCTTGGGGAAAATCTAAAAGGCATTGGTGCTGAACTGACAAGAGGAGGGGCGAGGCAAAGCAGGTGAAGAAAGGTGCTTCAGCTGAATTTCATGAACTCTGGTTTATTTATATAAAAAAAGAAAGAATATGATACCACATTGATTCCACAAAGAAAATTCCCTTTTCTTCTCTTCATCACAGGTCAGGGGTAAGGTTTCACCTGAGTGCTCTCTTGATCCTGTCTCTTGACAGGAATCTGGCACCTTGCTCATTTTTAATTCTGTGCGGTGGATCTTTGCTGAAATGTGTGTTTAAAGGTGCACTCTTATTGTCATGAAGGGTACTATTCAACTTGTGAAAACAGAGGCATAATATCTTCTGTGACTCTGAAGGAGCTTTGTCGAGTCAGTAACCCTTGATGATGTCATAGTGATGTAATCAGGGCTATATCAGTTTGGACTTAGCGACTACAGATTTATAACAGAAACCCCGTGTTATGAACTGGGGGCATGAGATTTTAAAGATGTGGGCATTTACCAGGCAGGGAGGACGTAATAAAAGATGCTATCCTGTTGAAAAATGGGAAATATTGGATGGAAGGATGACTTGTTTCATGACTTAATAATGAACTGAGGACAGAGGTGATGGAGAAAGGGAGCAAAACAATGACCTATGTTATGTTATTGTGCTGGAAATCACACACACACACATACGGCTGAGTGAATCTATTTATTCACCATTTGGACTCACATAATTATACTGCAGGGATAAACTAATTCGCTCTCTGTTGAGCCAATTAATGCTTCTTTTAATTATCCCTGACCTTCATTAAGGGTTTCCTCCTGCCCTTGCTCTCTCTTTCTTGTTCTTTTTGTTAATCAGAGGGCATGTGTCTGCAGAAGTCAAAGGCAAAGTGAAACTGTGCGTGTGTGTGTCTGAGAGAGAGAGAGAGAGACAGCAGGACCAGTTTATTCTTAGCCTCTCTCTGACCTGCAACTCAGCACAGAGTCACAGCCAAGACACAGACAACTGTGTGTGAGTGTGTGTCTGTGTTTGTGTGTGTATGACTGTGTGTGGGGTCCTCTCCCCTGGCTGCTCATTATAAATTTCAAACAGGTGTCGCCACCAAACTGTGCCGGCGCCTGTTCTATTACTGCCTTGCCCTGTGTGTTTATGTGTGTGTGCATGTACTTACTTTGCATGGCAAACCGCCTCCAACTCTTTTGCTTAGATTATATTTTTGCTAAAACTTTTCAATATGTCCCCTTGCCAAATAATCTGTATTTACCATTAATGTGTTCCTAAAAATTTCTTCAGGGAACTTCAGGATACATTTTTCATAATTTCACACAACAAGCCTATGCTAAAAGTCTGAGACTAAAGCTACATGTGAGCTGGCCTACTTGTTTCACTTTTAACGTTAAATGAGAAAAGGCTTATAGGATGAGGGCCAACCAATGTGTTTAGTGAACATATTGCTTTCTCAGGTATAATCTGCTGGGGCTGCTGTAGTGTATCTTCCCTAAATTCAATTAAGAGCCGGGGGAGCCGCTAACGTTAGCCTGTGATAGCATCCAGGACCAGCTTACGACACAGAGGATGCGCTAGTTGTGAGGGCTTTTTCTCTAACGTAACCTGTAACCCCACAAACTAATGCAGTTAGTTGATGAAATGCTTCTTGACCTTGAAGTGATGCTTGTTTACTACTGTGAGTGGTAAGCTACATGCTAACAAGTGCAGCCTAATTAGAACATAGAAACACACTGTTTAATCCATCCCATAACTCTATTATTCTTGTGTTTTTGGTTTAGTATTTTATGAGAGACCCATGCACACAGTTACAACATGTGGAGAAACCCAAAGCTTTACAGACCTGCTGTGCGGGCTTAGTTACAGTTGCTAAACAATGACTGGACAATCGATGGGAGGGGGTTCAGCGAATGGTCAGTTTGGAGAAATCTCATCATGCATCTCAGACAAATAACACCATTCCACTGGCAGCCGTCCACTCATCACTTGAAGAAGACAGAAGCTGTTACTTTGTTTTCTAATGGGATCAAAACACCCCCTGAAGTGCACCAGTCGAATTACCACTTCACAATATTGAGCTTTACTGTAATCCCAGCATCCTGCCATGTTGCTTTATGTGTTAATGAAGCCCAAACACAACGTCTTAGTGTTTCTGACAAAGCTGTCAGAAGAGCTGTGATCATACATTAGCTGCTGGTGAAGGAGAAGTCTGCTTGTAAGTTTTAAACAACACATTCTCCCTTTGGCGAGATGTTTCTTGGAATTAAGAGAGAGAGAGAGACGGAGGAAATGCAAGGAAAGTGAGAGTGTGAGCTTGTGTGTGTGTTTGTGTGAGTGTGGGTGGGTGTTTTTGCATGTCACAGTGCTTGTAAAGTGTTTGATATTTGCAACCTGTTTCTCCGTCTGTCACCAAAGTAGGGTGACTAACCCAAAGCTGTTCCCAAAATAAAGCATCCTTTGAACTCCAAATCCCCAAGAGCTGCTCGCTGTACGTGCGCATGTGTGTACAGGGCGTGTGTGCATTCAAGTGTGTGTCTTTCTGTGCACACACAGTACAGATGCATTCATGTTTGTGTAAGAGTTTCAGTTTGTGTGCTGCTGCAGGTGCATGTTTGTGTGTGTCAACAGTTTGCTGCATTACCTCACAGTCATGTTTGCTGCTCATCCAGTGATTGTCATGTCATCTCTTCCTCTTACCACTGCGCACACACACACTTCACCATCTTTAGCATTCTCCAAACAATTAGCATGTCAGCACATTGTGCCCCTACTGCTTATCAGCACTCTGCTTAATAAACTGTTTATTATTCTATTGAGATTAAACTGGTTTTAGCTGCTTGGATTTTATTCCTCAATGTCAGTGTGTTGAAAGTCTGAGCATGAGTTGCTTTCAGGATGTGACTGAGCTGATAAAACAGCTCAAGTGCTGTGCATCATGGGTAATGGCGCAATTAACCGATCATAAAGTAGAAAAATACACATGTGGTGCTAAAAACATGCTATTTTAAGATGTTTGCATGCTGCTTTGTATGAATCTCACATGTTTCAATTGTCAAGCGGTGGGTTTGTCACAAACACAGGATGTATTCGGGTTAGTTAGTATGCATACTGCTTCCTGCTGGGCATATTTATGCAGCAGAATTGGTGTTAGAAAATGCTCTAAAACTCTTTAACACGGTTAAAAACAGCCTCTGGTAATGTGTCTAGCAATTCTGTTATTTTCAAAGATAACTGAACAGACATGATTGCAGCATTTTTTCCTACCATATTTGCATGAGATAAAAAAATATTTGTTGCTTTAATGTTGCTTTAATATAGAAAAGGAAAAGAATACAAG